CAGAAAGATCCGGCTCGGCTCTCTGAATCCACCCGCTACCACCAACACCGATTTAATAGCTCTCATTCCCCAATCATACTGAGGGGCTTTACTCAGCAAATCTTGACACAGGAAATACAGTGTCGAGAATTTCTTAGCCAAAATCTTCGCCTCCAGGAAGCCCTCGGCCATGAACATGTTTTCCATAATCAGCGCGAAGTCCGGTACCATAACGGTGATTGGTCGGAATAAGGCCTTGAGACCCTCCGGGAGCTCACTACGGCCAAGATAGCCAGGATTCATAGTGATGAACGCACCACAGGACGGGTCCAGAGTGATCTCGTCCCCTTGCAGAACAAAGACCTTCAGCTTAGCCTTCACAGCATCGCAGACCGCCTTGAACTGAACTGTGCATACCGAGAGGACCTCAGGGACCAATCGATTGAACTCATCAAAACACCCCCAAGTGCCAGAGCTCGCCAAGCCTTTGAAAATTGCCCCCATAGTTTGGTAGTCCATCTCGGGACTAGCATTAAAAACAAAGCATGCCTTAGCCACAGCATTTGCGAGGTCCTTGGTCGTTTCCGTCTTCCCAGTACCCGCAGGCCCAGCCGGTGCACAGCCCATGTTCAAATGCAGGGCTTGCGTTGCAGTTACGTAAATTCGATCAGTCAGAGGTGTCACCACAAGTCTAGGGCCGTTACCCAAATACTCGTAACCATACCAGAAGGCAGCATCAGCGATTTTCTGTCGGCAGTCATCGGCCTCTACGTCCCAATAGGCCTTCAACTGGGCTTGCCACTGGAAGGCATCAGGAGTAATCACAGCCTCTTGAACGAGCTTCTCGGTGATATCTCTGTTATGGGCGTCTAGAGTGATCATGCACATAACCTTCATACGCTGAGGCTTATCCAAGGCCGTCTGGGTTAGTCGAATCAAATCCAACAAAAGATCCGACACGCGCTGCGAAGATTTCTGCACAGCTTCTTTGTCCCCCTCGTTATATGCATCGAAGGCTCGCTCTACCATGCGGACCCACATTATCATATTCACCATCAGGGCACACTGGGCCGCAGTAACGCCTTTTACCCACTCACCGCGGCCTGCATCGCCGGCCTGATAAAAATACCTCTGGGGGGATTCGAACTCGGGACCAAAACTAACCTCTTCGCAGTCCAGCAAGGCCTTCTTGGCATAGTACTTCAACGCAGTGCGGAAAGCAGCTACGCACGATTCCATATAGATCTCGACCTTTGCCAGCAGAAGAGTTGGCTCGGGGAAAGGCA